CACAAAAAGAAGGTGTCCACGTAAGCCAGGTACATCGTACTTTAAATCCACAGTTAGTGAGTACGGACAGTGTTCATTTCAAACCAATAGAATAGCATTATATGCTACAGACAGTGGTAAAATCCAAGGGCGCCAGAATCTCAGAGCACAGTCACCTTGAGCATCCCCCCCCCTCTCCACACCCCCCCCCCCCCCCGTAACCCATTTTTTTTTTTTTTACAGAATCTGACTCCTACTCTTCTCCAATATTTTAAAAGGGGTCGTTTTTTATCAACATGTCTAAATTACCTTGAACAAACCATTTATTGTTCCTTTTGCAAACCAGAGGTCCGCCGCTGTCGCCCTGAAAAACAAATTAAGTAAATATTATTCTGGGTCATCATTATCATCTTCTGTCTACTTTTGCAGTTAGGCGTCGCTGGTAGCAATTGGCTGCGGTCCTGCACTCGATGGGTGGCACTGGCTATTGTAAGGAAAACTCAAATGCCTGAAAATAAGCAGTAACACGTTTTACAGTCATGCGCGCGCGTGTACAAACATACGCAAGCACACATGCACACACACACACACACACACACACACACACACTGTTCAAAAACAATTTAAAAAAAAAACCGCATAGTTATCCAATGGCGCGTTTTATTTTTAATTTTTTTTTTATCAGTTTGCAAGTGACATTTTCTACCAGGCATGTCAAAGCCAGACTCCATTTTTGTGTATCAGTTTGCTAGTGACATTTTCTACCAGGCATGTCAAAGCCAGACTCCATTTTTGTGTATCAGTTTGCAAGTGACATTTTCTACCAGGCATGTCAAAGCCAGACTCCATTTTTGTGTATCAGTTTGCAAGTGACATTTTCTACCAGGCATGTCAAAGCCAGACTCCATTTTTGTGTATCAGTTTGCAAGTGACATTTTCTACCAGGCATATCAAAGCCAGACTCCATTTTTTTTTTTTTTTTTACAGTTTCAAATAGACATGATAGCCTGAATTGCGTGAGTGTGAATTTGTGTACTTGTTATAACGCAGTGGTCTTCTTCTTCTTCGCGTTCACCGGCGGAGTTATAGTTGTTCGTTTACTTGTGGACTTTAGTCTTGTTCCAGAACTTGAATAGTACGTGCATATCCATTTAACAGATCTGGCTTATTAATATGCAGACTGTGGGTTCCTTGTCTCTCAAGCAGATGACCCCGACTGCGAAGGAAACGCGGTGGTCAGTTGTGTTTATGACCATGAACAGAAGAAGTGGTGTCGGCGAGTATCTGGTACTGTAGATCACAAGGGACTGAAGTCGGAGGCAACCACCCAGGAAACGCAACACACCGTCAGGATGCCACGCACACACGCCATGGAAATATGTTTAAATCAGCAAAACGTTCAAAAGGTCTGCAATCTCCTTGCAAACACTTTTGTTTTAAATAACAACATTGAAATCAGTTCTGAGGGGGAAAAAAAAGAAAATGGGAAAATACTAAATAAATTATACAAACAGAGCATTCTTGGAATATGGGTCAACTCACACATCCAATACCACACTGGAGGAGCTAGACAAAGTGCAAAATCTAGCGCTCAGAATCATCACAGGAGGGATAACATCAATCCCCAAATTGGAAACTGATAAAGCTGGGAAAACACAGGCACTGAGAAAAAGCAGAGATACGAAGTCACAAATACAAGCAGACATTTCCTCAGTATGCCAGATCACCCCATGAAGAATAGATTTTAAAAAATGGGACAGTTAAAAAGAAGCAGGTTTATAAACCAAGCGGAAAAAAAAAGAATATGCAGAAAAACTACTGACCTTCCTGAAATTCGTTGTCCACTTAAATGTATTCAAGATTGTCCACTTAAAAGTTTTCCAGATTGTCCACTTAAAAGTATTCAAGATTGTCCACTTAAAAGTATTCCAGATTGTCCACTTAAAAGTATTCCAGACTGTCCACTTAAAAGTATTCCAGATTGTCCACTTAAAAGTATTCAAGATTGTCCACTTAAAAGTATTCCAGACTGTCCACTTAAAAGTATTCCAGATTGTCCGCTTGAAAGTATTCCAGATTGTCCACTTAAAAGTATTATAGAGCAAAACCCATGGAGAGAATAATGCAGACATCCAGAATAGACCCCATGGAAAGAAAAATGCAAACTAGATGTAAAATTCAAATGTGAAAGGAATATCTGAGAGGACAGAGCAAGATTGTATACAACACAACATGACAAACGTCATCTATATTGACCAAGAATACCCACAAGAGTATATAGAGAATAGGTTCGCCCAAAATTCACTTGAGAAATGTTGGTGTAGGAATGAACACAGAATTCCCAGATGGTAGTAGGGATAAGTCTAGTGTGCCATAACTTTTATGCAGAAACCCAAGCTATCAAGATAGCAATAGAGAAACTGCTAAATATCAACCTTGGCCACAGTCTGTGGTAATTCTGACAGATACAAAACCCGTACTTGATGCACTCAGTCTGGGAAACTACAAAAATTGCAAACACTTTTGACACAATTTAGCTGTCAGCGAAGATTCGCAATGCAGCAGATACCGTCCCATTGTGGAGAGTTTTGAAATGAGAGACCTGATCGACTGGCAAGGAAAGGTGCGACAAAGTTTACGATTTACACACCACTTTAAGAAAAGGATAATTAAATCGATCAAGACACCACCAGCCCCAGCATAAGACGACTATATTAGGCACAGATAAAAACAAATGATCCTTCGCTTCAGAACAGGGCACAACTGATTAAGCAACCACATGTATACACAATTTAAGATAGGCGTATCAACCCTGTGCACCAGTAGAAATGTGCCTCGGACAGCAGAACATCTACTCCAGGACTGCACTGAATATGACATATTAGGGCAAATCTTTTGGTCAGAAAGAACATCAGTAGAACGTAAATTCTATTGGCCACTGAATGAACTAAAAAACGTCAGTGATATTTGTACGGGAAACAAAATTGCTGATTTACAAAACTTATTTCAGATCGAGAAAAGGAAAAACTAATGCGGGCACGAGAAGACAACACAATTTATTGTGAACATTTCTCACTGACTACGCAATTGAAACCCTACAAAAGGATAATGCTACACCAACAAATTCAGACCATTTTCAAGAAGACATTTATGGTGTCTCTATCGATACATTTAAGGAAGATTGATTGCTTTGGCCGACTGCAGGCAGGCGAAAGTCAAATTCAGATTTTCAGGTCCCAATACAAGAATCAGAGTACTTACAGTCGACTATGGCACTGGATTTAAGCCACTGGCCTGGTTAGAGAGGAGGATCGCTTTATTTGGCTTCGTCACCTTAGAAACAGGTTTACAACAACTGCCCAGTCATTGCCTGATCAAACTATTCGGAATATATTGCAGGGCACCGGACTCTGGGCATAACAATCCAACCGAGGACCTGTCCGTATGTGCTGCATCGCCAGAATCTATCCCAGGGGAAGACAATTATCTTTTAGTATACCGTGTGTTAGACGAATGATCTATTACATAAAATAGGGACATTATGTAGTAGAGACATGTCACATTTTCTGTCACCGAATTTTCTGTTGTGGAGATTTAAACCAATGATGATATGATGTGTTAGGGATGGGAATTAGCATGTTCGGTAGCATCATGTTTCTGTTCCAGAGATTAGACCCCAATGATGACAGTATAAGACCAACCTTACAAGCATCGCTGCCACCAGCTTCATACCCAGCACAGAATGTTTTCTGTGGAATGAACTGAGTCCAGTACCAGTCCCGCGATGAGCAGTTCTCATCGGATATAATAGGCAAGAGGACTTGGTTTAAAACGCTGGAATCCCCCGTACCTGTACACAACAACAACAAAAAAGCCTGGTTTATGGTGCAAAATAGTCTACAGACACATTCTAGCAACAACAGCAACAGGTTTTTTTTTAAATCTTGTGATGGATAATTATCACCTTGTTGCCGTCATTTCCACAACTGTGATGTATGCCTTCCATTTTAGATTTAGATGGAGTCTTATAAGGTTCAAAGATAACTTCTAATACCTTCTTAACTTGAATGAGCATTGTTTAAATGAGTTATCACACAATGTAATATCTGGGATTCCAACTATACGCAAGCGACCACCGCACGTGCTGAGAATAATACGTGTTCTAGTTCACGAACATCACAGCACAATCAAATGATTGTTCTCTCCATACCCGCATATAAATCATGACAGCCAAATTTGTTCACACCCCCCCCCCCCCACCCCGATATACCAAGGTATTGGTTTGGTGCGTCTTTGCAATGAAATACAGCTTATGTAATAAACAATATTAACCTTGTCGTCGACAGACAATGTGTACTGTGCTGTTTCATGCTTTAGTTACTTCCAAAAATGCCGTTTGGCAGATACATAGTTACAGTTAAGTCTTGACAAGAATGAGTTTCTAAGCTTACATGGAAAATATGAGCTCTACAACACGGTTTCCAATACAATGGTACTTTGTACTTGGTCTAGAGGAAAGTCTCACTACCAATGTAATGACTGCCCTTTTGTGTCTCCTCCACACTGGCTATCTGTGGTGCAGAGTTAACACTGGCTCTGATATCTAGAGGGTCACAACTCAATCAAGCAGACATGATCCTCTTCATGGTCACACAACGTCTAACAACGGTTAACACCATCGGCACATTTCACGAGTTTATTTACACGTTAGCTCAATACACAAATCACAGGTGAATCCACTTACAGCATTCGGACAATAGACGTTGACATATTCACAGCTGGCTTTGACAATCAAACAGGGTACCATCACAGCTGGCCTTCTAGATCATTCATTCCTCGCCGATTCAGATCCACATGCTCTTGTCATTCTCCATTCATCTTCACAGCTTCATTTTCCATCCTTTCTCTCTGGGGCCCAGTCACCGAATCCCAGCCTGATTCTCAATCCCCCAGATCTCCTCATTCACACGTGACACACTCTTTCCTGTCGTTTCACCATATCTCCGTGAAACCCATGCTCTCAGGGACTTCCCCAGTTATGCCAATCATCCCCTGACATTATCCCTATTTATAACATCATTACATCTCTCCTCACCTTAAAAAAAAAAAAAATATGCAATATTTTTTTTCCCATAACCTATATAAATTTCCATATAAGAATATATTGCCTTATTTTACTAATATTTTTACTGTTGGCTGGAATTCTACCATCGGTTCTCTGACTTGTACCACATATGCAGCATCTCTTGTCACTCCCCTTGACAGTTCTTGGCAATATGCTAACAGAATCACCTCCCCAAAGCGTTCCTCAAACAACGCGGATGACCTTATAGGCTCTGTGACGTACTTATCAAGTCCTGAAGTCAGTCTACCTAAAGAAGACTGAACAACACCCCAAAGCGTTCCTCAACAACGCGGAAGTCCAAAAATGGCTCCAAAACCAGACTTATAAATCACACAGTTCTGTATGTCCCCCATAGAACCAAGTTCCTGTTGACAGTTCATTCAAAGTGATTGCTACTCCTTGTTGGTCTTCGTCATTCACCATGGTTTATACCAAAACTTTGCCAGAATTTTCTCATTTTAGCATTGTGGCAATTTCATTTTCTGTTTGTACACTATATAATAGATATTTCCAAATTTCTATATCTGTAATTTTTTTTTTTTTTTTTTTTTTTTTTTTTTGCATTTGAAAAATGTAATTGTCAACGGAAGTTCTAGTGTTTCTTGCTGGCCTCTTGGGCCTTGAGAACCCTGGCTACGATCTTCTGCTCCTCAATGAGGAAAGCACGAATGATTCGTCCTCTGACAGCTTTGTGGCACAGTGATCCTCCATATGCACGACTGACTGTCTTCTGGCGCTTGCTCAAAGCACTCAGCTTGTGGGGACGTACAGATCGCACCCCCCTGAGCTTGGTCTTGTAATCACCACATATTGGTGTCTTTGCAAGCTTTTTCTGGTACAAATAAACCAACTTTCCACCGGGAGTCTTAGAGACCTTGCGGCGGTTGGAATTTGTGTTGTATGAGAGGCGGCGTCTGAAAGTAAGTCGCTGAACCATCTTGCTCGATGTTATTTCCAAAAAGTTTACTGTTAATAAAATTTCTATTATAACCTAATGTGTCTGTTGGTTTTTTTTATAAACTCATACACCATCTTTCAGTTTTATTTTTTAAATTCATACACTATTCCTCATTATCACTTTCACATCATAACTTTCATATCATCACATCATACAACATTTATTTTATTTGAATATTAATTGTTAGTAACAACACGTTTATTGAACATTTGTTAGTAATGTTAGACTGTTACCTATAATTATCTCCCTTTTCTATTTAACTCCCCTTGTGATTATTTCTGTTTACTTGTTACCTATAATTATCTCCCTTTTCTATTTAACTCCCCTTGTGACTATTTCTGTTTACTATCTTTATAACCTAGACATAATATCTGGAATGTGGTTGTCAACCCCTTTTACATGCATAATGTCAAATTTAAACTTTTGTATTAATGTCTAATGGTAAACTAGCGTTGTCATTAGCATTTATGTTTTGCAATTTTACCTGTAATGACTGTAAATTCTTTTCTAATTAGGAAATTGTATCCTTTTTTTTTTTTTCTTTTTAAACTGATCACAATATTTAATGCCTCTTACTCGAAACTTATTTTTTATTATTTTTCCTTGATCATAGTTTAATTTTGTTGACTTCCTGTTCAATTGCATTGTGAATAACTGATACTTTAATATTGTAGCTTTCCTAACATATTTAACACAACAATTAACACTTGACATTAACACTGTCACAATTAATGTTACTAGCCACTGCATTATTAAGTTTACTTGTTTTTTGTAGTTTGTTGATAGACTTGGAAAAAATCTGTTTTTATCTTCTGTAGTTACTGGTATTTGTTCTTTGTGCATGTTTACGGAGTGCTCTTGAGTTTGTTGATTTTTTGTTACACTCCTTGTGACTGCTGCTACATTTTCTATTTCCTGCAGATTTACACTGTCATTTTTCTCTTCCATGAACGCATTTGTCTCTTGTCTCTGCGTGGTTAGTATCACTTCTTCTGTCATCTCAGGTATGTTTTCTTTCTCCCACTGTTTTATTTCATGATCTGTCATCTCTTTCAGCCCTGGTTGGTTACCAATGATAAGTTCTGCACACGGTGAACTTAATACAGCCATGTCCATCTTCTTAGTGGTATAAGGCGTTTTGACCCATACTGATGCTATTCTTAATTTTTTTATTCTACCTCCGAATGTTCTACATCTAACAATTCTATCAGTCATATCCTCTGGTTTCACTAATGACTTGTGAATACCTGAGATCGTCGATCCTGTGTCCCTCAAAATTGACACGATTCGATTACCAACAATTCCTTTGTGTAGATTTAATTTTCCACAATCCTTTATAGAATTTGCATTGTGCGCTGGTATCTTATGCCTACATTTCAATTCTCCATATTCTTGAAACTTCTCACACATTGTGCATTTATCTTCTTCTAGTATCACTGCTGCAATTGTTTCTGATATATCACTTCCTGACTCGGAGTCTGATGTTTCACAAACTGCTGCTGCTTTAAATTCTTTCTTATATTTACAAAATTGACGCGTGTGCCCGTAGAATCCACAAGCCCAGCATTTACTTGTACTATCATATCTCTTTACCTTTTTCCTCCTGTTTTCAGTTTTCTTTCTGACTTCTTGTTCATACAATTGATTGGCGTCGCATATGGTTTCATTACCATGCCTTTTTTTTGCATATGTCACAATCTATTATTGTTATTTTCCTTCCTCCATTAAATCTTCTTCTGGACGGATATGCTGATCTATTATATCCTGTTTCATATGACTTTTGTCCTTCGGCACTGGCTCCTGAGTATATATCAGTGTTTTGTGGTATGAGAAAGATATCACGATGTGCTGCATAATAATTTTCTCCTAGTTGTTCAAGATGTTTTAACGAAGTAGGTTTGTGTTCCTTCAGAAATGTGGTCATAGGTTTTGGTAATGATTCTAGCAATTTACTTCTTAATAGTAAATCAACTAACAGATCATAGTCGTTGTTAATTTTGGCTGAATCTACCCATTTCTGAAAAGTTGTCTGAACTTCGGACATATAATCAACAAATGTTTGAGTTGATTTTGGTTTTAAATCAATGAATTGCAATCTGTATCCTGCTTCTTGTAGGTCATAGTGCCTCATTATCCGGTCTTTAATATAATCAAAATCAAGTCGTAAATTTTCTGGCACTGTCTCCAATATTTTTAACGGTTCTCCTCCAAGGTGTCTTTGGAACAGTATTGCCCAATCTTCTTTTGGAATTTTATGAAACCGAACTTGTAGTAAAATGCTGAAATCCATGATCCAATGTCATCCTTTTCACCAAAATTCTTTATTAATCCTTTGTATTTTGTAAATTTATGTTCTTCTTCTTTAGCTCTTTCCCTTTGTGCTGCCAGTTCTGCTTTGGATTCATTATCCATTTCTTTTGTTCTTATCTGTGCTTCAACCTTTTGTTTGTCTGCTTCTATTTGTGCTGCCAACCGCTGTTGTTCAAGTTTTATCTCCTGTTCTTTGATTTCTTTCTCATGTTGTAACTGCTTGTCTTTCATTGCTGCCTCGTGGGCACGTGCTTCTGCTTCCTGGGCGCGTGCTGCGGCTCTTTCTTCACGATCCAATTGTTGTTGAACCCTTTGTGCCTCTTTATCTTCCTGTTCTCTTCCCTCACAGAATTTTCTTAACTCCTCTCCTGATAACCCTAACTGTTTTCCCAGATTTATGTATTCTGCTAGGTTTGACATTTTAGAACTGATTACTGTACTTTATTACTTTTGAAACTGTTTAAATTTGAGATAAGTCCCGTATTATTTAATTTATACCCTTCTTTAACTAAATAATTGAGATTTTAAATTTAATTATATCCCTTAACAAATTTACACTCAACTAATAAATAAAAAAAAATATCTATTTTACTTAAATAGAATAATAGAAAATCACAATCAAAGAACCTGAAAATCAAAAAAAGAAAGCATGTAACAATGTAATGAGTTGATTTTTTTTCCTTGGTCCTGGTGATGGCTCCCTTGCTCTTCTGCTGTTGGAATGGACTGGATTAGGTTTGTGGCCCTTGATGCTCCACTGCACGTCTTTACTGTCTCTGGACACGCTCTTCTGATCTTTGTAGGACACTGCTCTTGTCTTCTGTCGTGGTCTAAGTCTGCAGATGATCTTAAAAGACTACCATTAGTTTATGCTCATTCAATAATTCAAATATGTCCAAAAGTCTTTATACCCTGTAGTTTAACAATCTACACTGAAGTTGATCAGTTGGCACAGATCACTAAATGTTCACAGTTAGCGCATATTAATTTCACTAATTGTCACCACAAACTGTTGATAAATGTTAGATTCTTACTGAAATACTTTTCTTACAAAGAATGTATGTAGTTCTACTCTACAACCTGAATAGTCATAGTCTATCACATTATTCACTGTTTTTACTGTCTATCCATTATAAATTGTAAACATTTCGTGACGTAATTAATGTTGATAAACACCACTCCTTCCTTGTCTACACAATACACACTTGAACTCACCTAAACGGACGTATTACAAACATTTAGTAGTAAAAGTACTACTTCTGGTGTTGACTGGACCCCGTTCTTTTTTATTGACAAGTATTCTTGACCTGAGGCATTCACTTGTGGACGGTGTGCTGTACGGTTGCCTCGAGTCGCTGATGACGTTTAATCTGCTACTGTGTTGTACTTGACCGTTGTTGATGACCTTGCTCGCTGTAACTGAGTGCCGTCTTGGCCCCTGGCAATGCAGTGTTCTTGCGGTGAAATCTAGTCCGAAATTAGTATCTCTGGTTTATGACCTCTTGTTTGACGAACAAAACCCACGTTAAACAACGATCATAGAGATATCGCTGCCGACACTTTCCCGTCGTGGATTACCCACCACAAGGGTCAAAAGTTCAGCTTATACAGTCTCTTCCAGCGACGAACAAGCGTTCCCACGTCGCGGGATGAAACTTGTGCAATTTTTTTTTCACACGTGAAGTGAATACATTACCCAGTATTGTTTCGCCGTGTTTCTACCAATTTTTCTCAGGCTAGCTTGTTTGTTTCAGAATGACTAGAGTCTGGAATTCAGTTGTCCCGGTTTTACTTAATGCCCTTGACAGCATGTCCTGGTCTTACATAATACCCCGACATTTCTTTAAACTCCATCTTCCAACACACATAGTCACTCAAAACTTACGGCTGCCGGTATTTGCCTAAATTTTACTTCTGTCCACAAAAACACTACGTCTAATGTACTGGCATAGTTAGAACAAGCCTGCACTGTAACTCATAACTTACAATATATTCGCACTTAGGACGGGGCCCCAATGTAATGACTGCCCTTTTGTGTCTCCTCCACACTGGCTATCTGTGGTGCAGAGTTAACACTGGCTCTGATATCTAGAGGGTCACAACTCAATCAAGCAGACATGATCCTCTTCATGGTCACACAACGTCTAACAACGGTTAACACCATCGGCACATTTCACGAGTTTATTTACACGTTAGCTCAATACACAAATCACAGGTGAATCCACTTACAGCATTCGGACAATAGACGTTGACATATTCACAGCTGGCTTTGACAATCAAACAGGGTACCATCACAGCTGGCCTTCTCGATCATTCATTCCTCGCCGATTCAGATCCACATGCTCTAGTCATTCTCCATTCATCTTCACAGCTTCATTTTCCATCCTTTCTCTCTGGGGCCCAGTCACCGAATCCCAGCCTGATTCTCAATCCCCCAGATCTCCTCATTCACACGTGACACACTCTTTCCTGTCGTTTCACCATATCTCCGTGAAACCCATGCTCTCAGGGACTTCCCCAGTTATGCCAATCATCCCCTGACATTATCCCTATTTATAACATCATTACAACCAACATTAATCCAATAGGTCAAATATATTTCAGGTGATTCAGTGCAAGCTTAGTCAAGTCTATTTCAGGTGATTCAATGCAAGCTTGGTCATGTCTATTTCAGGTGATTCAATGCAAGCTTGGTCAAGTCTATTTCAAGTGATTAAATGCAAGCTTGGCTTGACGGCAATAAAGACGATGATGACAACAGAGACTATTGGTCTTATTGTTCATCCACCTGGTTGTTTCAGTAATTGATTATTGCCTAGGAATTTTAGCACTGTCCACATCGCGATGTCCAGCACTTGGACGGATTCAAAATTGAGGAATGAGAATTGTCTTGGAGTGTACACGAGATACACCAAACAGAACTATGAGGTGTATGCTTGGGGTGACATCAGTGAAGACTTGACTGTCATTAGAACAAGCCAAGGCCTACATGTGTGCTACAAGTGATGAAAGACATCATCTGCATGGCAGTCTGACAGATTTTAGAAGATAGACAAGAGGAAAGTATGAATGGAACTCGCCGAATAACATTCATGTGCACTGCTAAATGTTTCTGCATTATTGAGGCTAAAATAAATATGGCCGTAAAGTCAGTAGATGAAGTACTACATCTGTATACTCCACATTCGATACACTATTTAAAAATGAAACAAACTGTCAGCTGAAGTCATCATACCTTCTGTTTTGCCCCACCCAGCAAGTAGGCAGACCTTGCCAACACGAACACCTTTCGTGGTATCTGGGATACATATGGGCTGGATGTAGGTTGAGAAAGTTAGGGCTTCAGCTAGTTCAAGCAGTGCGATGTCGTTGTCCTGTGTGATGTTGTTGTAATCCTCGTGCACAATTATCTTGTTTATCTACGTTACAGAATAAGCCAGATATAAGTTGTACTTCATTGATTAGTTAAACGAAACCACATAGGGCAGGACAACAGACTCGCAGTAAATCGCTAGTATTTCACTCAAACACGTGGATTCAAAACTTTAAGATCTTGCAACAAAATAACAGAAACTAAATTATTGTTTGAGAACAAGTAAAAGTATAAAATACAAAACAGAAAAGAATTACAACATAAATTTTACGACCTAAAAAAAAAGCACCATATTACAAGCGCTCGTTTTACGAATAAATTTCCGGTCGTGCCGAGAAATCGTAATTGCAACCTTGTCGTTTAAAATAAACAAACATTCGCATTGTTGATTTCAGCACTCTGTTGATAGGAAGGGAAACCTTTTTCCAGATGTGCTTGTTTAATCTAGATATTCGAAGCGTAAAAGGGTTGTGGACCGTACTATGGAGTTCGTGCACGAGTATCAAATCACCAGCACCTGTGATTAAATCTCATACATGCTGGTCGGTGCAGGAAACATTAAGGATGCAAATGGCTGGACCTAAAATACGTTCGTTCATTTTACTGGGACTGTTCCTCATTTTAAAAAAGGCAATCGGTTTCCGAAAAGCTTATTAAAAGCAATGACATCGCCTAGTGACATTTTTGTCTTGCAGGACATGAGTCTAGGCGATGAGACAGTCAGTGAGGCAGGTTTGTACTACTTCTACAATCGTCTACATCTAGGACAGGTAATTGTGGTTTGTGACAATACATTAGTGTCTGAAGTTTGAATGGGACAGTCACGTTCTGTCGGAGCATACAGTCAGAGTGCTAGCTCCTGCCCATTTCACTATGGTCAATGTTTGCGCCTGTAACACGAAGGTCCATGTTCGCCAGTGGCAGCGTTTGTTTACGCACGGGATGGCAACATCTTCTGCAGGGACGTCAACGCCCCAGGTAGCCAGTATGATAATGTCGTCACCAATAAACAGGGGGAAGATCTGGAAGAAACCCTGGTCTCTGCTGAACTGGTTTGTTAAAACGACAGACACATCGCTACATTAGCAACTCGACCAGAGTGTCATTGACAGATCTAGCATCGCCCCTGTTTGTAGGACACATGCGTAACATGATTGCAGGCAGAAAAACAAAATAAATACTTTCCAGTAAGATTCAATTGATTAATCCTCATCGCGCCTAAAGGCACATAAGGCAGGGACAAACTGTCGCCTCTCACTTCGATCTTTAGCCATCATCTCTATCTCTAGTTGTGTCTTTCGCGTAGTCTTGAGTTCAGCCTCAAAGGTTTGCCTCCAAGTGCCACTGGGCCGGTCTCTTCCTCGCTGGCCTTGTGGTGTCCATTGCACTGCCTGTCTCGGCCGTCTCTCTTTCTTCATTCTGAGGACGTGTCCAATCCACCCTTATCTTTTTTTTTTTTCTTTTCTAAATTGACATGTTTCTAGTCTGTCATTTGTTGTAATCTAGAATTGTTGATTTTATAAGAGATTAGACGTCTTGAATTAAATGTCTACCACCCCCCCCCCCCCAACAAAAATGGGCATATCACTGGGGAGAAAATAGGTTGGAAGGGCTTGGGTAGAGAAGATGCGGGCGGTCAGGATGTGGCAAAAGGCCAGTAAGTGCAACACGTCACAGTCCTGATATACCTTAAGGATAAAGTTAATAAAGTAACGTTAGTCCACAAGCTATGCGCAAGGCCGGTGAAGAATGAAAAAGGAGAGGATTGCTGTAAGAAGCTAGTGCTATGAAACATAGTGGTGACTTCACCAGGGATGAACGACACCAAACGGTGTCGGGGTATCCCAGACATTCAAAGTACAGATCTGACATGTCAGAAATCTAAAGCGATAAAGGACAAGCAGTCATTCAACACTACTTGCAATAGGCCGACCAGGAAGATGTGGCAGCCAGACTGAGAGCTCAGACGATACTCAGAGTTGTTTGAGAAAATACAGCCGAGTGATGAATTCATTGTTACCACTGAGAATATGATTACAATACTCAAAACTTGTAAAACACTGCCTCAAACCCCGACGACATCCGATGTGCTGATACGCTGCAGATGTCGGAGAACATCAGAATCTAGAGTTAGTTAGTTAGTCGACACACCATCGTCATTGCACATCGAACCATTCAGTCCATTAGTTCTCCCATCCCTTCCTCGGGAAATCCCAAAGCGTGTAGGGCTAACGACACCAGTTCTGTGTTTATTTATCATTCTTCTTTGGCTTCCTTTATACTGCCATTGCCTGGCAGCACCCCTTTTAGCTTGCTTTGCTTGCAGTCTGGTCATGGCTGCACATTTGGTCCTCGCAAACTTCTTACTTCTCGTAGAGCATTCAGTATATCAGCCTGGCTCTTCTGCCCTCCACGGTAGCTTTACCTGCAGGTATATCAGCTGGCTCATTTCCTTGCACACCTGCGTGTCTTAGAACCAATATTAAACTGATATTTTTCAATCCCGACCGCTGAGACCGCCACTGTCTTCGGACCAAGCCCATTTCTATCTTCCTGAGCATAATCATTGAGTTACCGAGAAAGCATGCGCAGGAAAAGGTCTCTGTCTTCAGCATGTTATTGTTTTTGTCACTGTCGTGACTTCCATAGTTATACTACTTGTACTCAAGGTAGCAACATTTAATTCTTGCTTCATAATTCTAACTCAAACCTGAGCTGTAAAAGCCCACCCGTGTGTCTGTGTTGACTCTGAGGCACGTACTCCTTAAATTTATATTAAGTACTCCATGGTTGGAAAATCAAAAAGGTGGCCCATCGGTCGACACGCTGTAGCTCTTTTACTTTCAAGTGTAATTGATTTGGATCTTTTACATCATCTCCTTCTGCTTACAACTGAGAGAGAGGATCACCATCGCATACTAAACAAAATTAACAATTGACAAACCTTAGTATAGAATACACTATTGCCACCGCTCACAGTTTGCTGCAGCCATCAATCTCATAGCTTTCAAGCCTTACTTGGCTTTTATTATCCCTGTTTCAAAAGGTGCGAGTACTCTTAGACAACTTTACACAAACATCAGAAAGAGACGGATGTCATTTTTTAGTCATGTTATGGAAAGAGAAAAACTGAAGCATGTTTTGACCACTCGAAAGATTTGTGGAAGTAGGGAAAGAGGAAGACAACGCGAGAAAGGTATGATCGTAGACTCCAGTCGGCAAGGCATTTGATGAAACTATAGAGTACGATTTGACTAGCTGATGCGCAAACCTCTTCGCTAACCCTCTTTGTCATCTGCTGTCAAGCTGCGACGCTGTTCCAGAGACAACTGGTACTCAAGCGTGGTTGTGGGCTTTCGGAACATAAAAATTTGTCCAGTATGACCTCAAAGTTATCCATTCTGTTTAATGTGTACCCTGTATTGAGCAATAGTTGAATGGGAGCTACCAAAATTTGTCATTTTGATCATGAAATCTTGGTGTATCGACGGGGAAGATATCATCCAGAGATTCACAATGGGGTGTCAACCCTTCAAAGGTTTCCGTAAAGTGGTTTTCCTTTAACACTCATATATTCCGGATAAACCTGCCAGTTATGGAAACCAGTGTCAAAGCTTTGACAAGAACTCGCATGATGGAGTAGTTTGACTGCAGTCTGTGCAGTCGACAATATCATAAAAAAAGCTTGCAAAGACCTCTCAGTAATGGGAGTCGTGCCCGCCGCTAGCATCGATTAGATTCTGTTTTTGTCCCAAGGACTGGTCCTTTTTCCCATCAAATCAGATTGAGCCATTCTCATTGTTATCCACAATCAGACTGAAAGACTCGAAAAGGTATAGAAGCTATGTGCATTATTCTGAGGCGCACAAAAGACAATGTTAGCAGTGAGATACCTTCTTGACTTCCTTGCCATGAAACACAGGACTAAGATTTTGAGGCCTCGCGCATACCTGAAAAAAAAGCTCAGATCTCATACACCCTTTACACGATATGCGCTTCAGAAAAAAAAGGGCAACACACTAAAAGAGGGAAAATCATGGTTGGGTAGGCAAAGGAGGATATCAAGCAAGTCTGCAGTCTTACATCCATCCATCATTGTGGGGGACTGGATACCGATGCTTCAAGCATTCAACTGCCTCTTCTCATTTGTTATCACGCTGGAAAAGAGTTGTCAGGATCAGAATCTTGTTGCTGTCAATGCCCAGACCCACGCGCACATCAGTGACAGCGCAGATAAGACAGATGTACCGATTAAGCAGACAGGTCCCTTGTACGAGAACCCAAAAGTATATGGCCATTTACAGCACCCTTTGTAGGCAGCGCCTGCGATACCTTCTCTATGACTACGAGGAGGATGGCGACAACGGTTACGGCGTTGACACTGGCTTTCATGTGACTGGAATCACAGGACTATTCCCACCCATACATCGCTGAGCGATTCTAGGAGCATGGCCCGGTGGGTTGAGGTACTTTGTACACAGACAGTGGACTGAGTAATTATGAGACCCAAAGGTAAAGGTGAAGTTGGGAGATGTGAACCAGCGTCATTGCACAAGGTTATAAACCATAAGTGCTCTGTGACCAGTACGGACAGCTGATAAGAATTATCCGCCCGTGTCGCCGTCCGCACAAAACTCTGTAGCTACAGCGACGTTCCTCCATTTACCCCAGAGTGTCAACACTGGTACCCATTTCCTAGAGGCTGAGTGAACCCCGGGAACCGCCCGGTTTCGAACACTGCCCGTGGGCGAGTCGCAGCTGGATTTGAAAGCGAGCCTCTTATCGACTGCGCTAACGTGGCCCCCTGCTGAGACCCAGCTGTACTTGAAGCTACTTTCATCTTTGTCCAACGAGATGCAGGTAATGAAAGAGCTCTTAGACAGGGCTAATCTACCTTAGCTGCATTTTGCCGGCCTAGGATTGCGCCGACATTGTTAGAGAGATAAATGGTCGAGAGATTGTGGGAACAGTGTCCACATGCCGGTTAAGAATGCGAGGATTAGGAGTAAAAATCGGCAAAGCAAGGTACGTACAAGGTCTCGTCAGCCAGCATAGGATTGGCACTATTAACCGCGGGACGCTGATGTATACGTTGAAGGGGGAATCTGAGCCCTTATGGACGTGTCCGGTATCATTATCATCATCATCATAAACCACTTCTGCCGTTAAGCGCCGTTGGGAGGAATAATTTGCTATCCAGTGCACATTGGCTGCCACTGGCTATTGTCATGCCGTGAAGGCGTAGAGTGTCTTTAATGTTGTCGATCCATGCTTTCCGCGCCCGTCCTCTTGCTCTTGTAGCTGATCTTCTGAGATGTAGTGCCTGTTATGGTATTTGATCTTGCTGCATTCTAACCACTTGATCTGCTGTTTCTCGATGAATCTAGTACAAGGTGTCGTTTCCACAGTTTGCTGGGTAGGTTCATTATTTACTCGATCTCGAATGGTTGGCTTGGCTGCTTTTCTCAGGCACCGTGTCAGGAGTGTCGTGAAATTATAACTCAGAGAATTTTAACCATCAGGTTGTAATGAAGTTGACAAAGAATAATTTCGTGTTCCTTATTTATATTGTAAAGTACTATCATATTTGACAACGATACAAAAGGTTAGATGCTGAGTGTGGAATTGATAATCGACTTTATGTCGCTCAGGACATTCACATAAGCGCTCCCTCCCCATTTTCAGCAAGCGCAGAGTTCCAACTCTGTAAGCGTTTTGCATTTCTTATAATTGTTGAGTGTCGGCCAGATCCCTTGTCACTCCTCGCAGCACCATTCTCTTCAGACCATGATGATGTCTTTGTACCCCCGTATTGTTCACTCGCTGTCAAAGGACCCCAACAACATCTAATTGTCATGCATCAGTTCAACACCAGTTGGTGCAGAACCGGCCAGTACATCTGCTTGTTCGTTTCCCAAACACCAGCATCATCTGAACAAACTATATAATGGACGCTAACTACATGGGACATCTTTAGCCATACTTGCAATTCTGCACGGAGCAAACCTGTCTCCCTTTTTCTCAATGGGCTGTGTGAGTCAGTTATAATTATGACACGTTGTTTACTGCAAGTTTTGAAGCCAGCGGAAGGTTGCAGTGACTACCTCCATTCTCAGACTAGATGCTATGATAACATATGCAAGGCTTTGTTGACTAAACGACGTCTATTCGCTGTGAACTCCACACATTTCTTCTGCTTCTCGACACACAGCCATGTGTACAGAAATTCACATCACCTGAATGAGACTAGTATTATTTGTTGCACTCATTCCAAAGGGCTCCCTGGTCATTCCCTTTACTCATGGTCCAGTGTGATCAGAAATCTACTCAAGTCTGATTGTTGCTCCGTTACTGTGACCCAATCCTCGTATCGGACAATATTTTCACGTATGTCTTGGAAAACCTATTCAAAAAACGATACTGCGTTTTGGTAGAAATTACAACAAAATAAAAGCCTTTAATCATATGACTAGAACTTCTTGATAGATTTCATCAGTTTTATTTAGACGGAAACATCTCTCACAGAAAACCCTTACAGAATGGCGAATGTACACCTAGCATATACAGGCTGGTTATAAATAATTATCGCCAGAATCATAATTGTAATATTTTCTAGAGCAATGGGTATGCGATTATAAATGTGCCTTCCAGACGGCGTGGCAGTTGATACTGAAGATGAAACATAATTATACTCGAAAAACTGCTACATTTACGTGGTCTGATAGCATTTGTATTTAATTACTTACGTCTGGTTACCATGTGAGCTTGTTTCCGTTCTAATAATTACTATTGTAAACTCATGTCACTTATTTATTCATTCATTAATTTATTGCTCTGTAGGGCCACTATTTGTTACATAGATGTGGCATTCTATTTCTCTCTTTCGTTCTAACTAATGCAATCATTTCGATGTCATGGACTGAATTCAGTCCAGTACATTTGGCTTCTCTCATCACCTTTCGTCATGAAGTTTCTCTTGGACGTCCTCGTTTCATCAGTCCCTCTATTTCTCATTTCAGTGCCTGGCTGGCTATTCTCAATTCGTCTCTTCTCAGGTTATGTCAATACGGCATCATTTATCTGTCATATAGCCGTTGATACCAGTGGTTGCCCAGACATTTCTCTTATTTCTTCACCCTTCTTTAAACCCTAATGTCATATCGAAGAATAATTGATTATATATGAAGCCTCTAAATCCTATACACATCACAGGCACGCTTGTCTGCTGATAGGAATGGTGTGGGGGTTTATTCCGTCTGAGTGACCTTTCTTCGCTGGGCTTGTGCCTGAAGGTTTGCCATTCCAACGATCTTATGAGTTTTATTCTGGATGTAAACCCAAAAGGACATATTCCGTGTTTAACCTTCTAAGAAGCTATCACTTTTTAACAGTTACATTCAGTGATAGACGTTATACTTTGCTGCTGTGTTGTGTGGATTAGACAGAGAGAGAATAATAATTTGTCATGTCCATCTGTGTGGAGAAGAATTCTGATTGAAATAATAAGTCACATGGACGCCATGCAGATATGGTTTTCACAAAGAAATCATGAAAAAAAATGTCGGGTTACTTTCGCTGTTTTCAGGTCATGCCTCACCTAAACATTATGCAAAGATGATTTTTGGAACTTCGTGAAATCACTTAATAGCTGTATTTGTCTGTCAAATTAACGTTTGGTAGAGTACAGAAATGTAATATACAACCTTTACACTTATTTGTTGTGGCTCAACGCTAAGAAGATAATGTTTTCCTGCTACAGCTTGCCATCTGCTGGGGTCGTTACTTTCACCGCTGTGGGTAGAGAATAACAGGCCTTTTACCATTTTTAAAGGAGAGAACTGGTAATTCAGAGTAAATTTATATAAATATGATTTAACCACATTATCGTGATAATACTACTGATTGTCCCTACCTTGATTTTGATCGCTATGAACGTTGGATGGAGAATCTAAACAAACGAAAACCTAAACTCCTTGGGGGAAAAGTCACTAGTACAGACCCAATTTATGCCAGTCCCTGTATGCTGTGTCGAATTATTGTGGGAATGATGATACAAATTACTAGGAATGATCCCCACTGGTCAGGTATATCCTAGTATGAGTTAGAGTGATGTATGCTTTGACTAATTTGATACAAAACGTTTATCTGACATTGATAAGCAACTATAATTCCGGTTTGATAAAAACATGGTTGTTGAAAGACGAGACATGGGTCGACAAGAACGAAAGTGGATATAGGATATTTAAGAAACTTTAGATATGAAAAGACAGGGAAGAGACAGAAGACCAAGATTCTGACATTGGAGATATTATTCAAGCGACATTCTGCATAGGACATGTCACGTGATGATGAAGTTAGAGGTTCTTAACATAAATGTAAGTTTAAACTGTTGAAGATGGCAATACGTCTTTGGATGTTTGTCAAACAAAAATAATAGCATGAAAGTAAACTGGTGTATGGGATTAAGACGAGAGAGAGAGAGAGAGAGAGAGAGAGAGAGAGAGAGAGAGAGAGAGCGAGAGAGAGAGAGAGAGAGAGAGAGAGAGAGAGAGAGAGAGAATTGACCAAAGGGAGAGTGAAGAAGATAGCCAATAATCCTGTTTACCCAACTGTTGAGATACTTGTGAAGTACGTACCTGAAACAATGAGCAGCCGTTAAAATTATTCGGGCATTGATTATAGAGCCACCACAAGCTAAATAACCGACTTCCACGAGCGCCACCTGTATGATTAATAGGGATATATCTGTGAGAACATAGACCGAGGCCTCCAGCTGTTGGTAGTTTTTAATATGTAACAAAATTGGGGGAGGGGGGAGAATTGAGCGAAAGGTGGAGGGGTGATTTTAAAGGTCCCACCCGGCTGTCTTCGGGGACCCTAATATAACTTAAATATTGAACAGGGTTATGGGACTTGCACCTGGGGATTCTCATTCGAATGATGGCACTTTGTGTCACCTGGTGTTAATCGCTTGTTGTGCTGTCCTGATGGGATCGAACGTCACACACTGAGACTTCCCTAAGAGGCGTGGCTTTAACCATGCGTAGAAATGTTGCTTCAATGTTTTTGTTGATACATTTAATATTATTTTCAGTATATTATTATATTATTGCGTTGCCTTCATTGCCATTCAGCTAATTAATAATAATATTAATAATAATAAGGACGAAGATGATGATAATAATGTGTTAAATGACAAATACATACACAATACACTTGATAATAAATATAAATTTAACAAAGACATATAATAATACACTTGATAATAAATATAAATACAACAAAGACAAATGATAATACACTTGATAATAAATATAAATACAACAAAGACAAATGATAATACACCTGATTATATATATATATATACTAATTAATATAATAATACCCTCTCCAACTGGAGGGGGTATTGTATAGTGGTAGCTCAAGGGGCTTGAGCTCCCTCCCCATTTGTGCCTAGAAAATGTCACTCCCACTACTGTTTGTGTGTGTGTCTATGCCCCTAAAAAGAGTCCATCACTGCCTTTTGTTTGCTAATAATATTAATTTATCTGAAAGAACCAGGTAAAATTGTCAATACTGTCACTGTGTACTGGCCAAATGAAAACGAGCGAATAGAAGTTAAAAAAGAATGATTTAAACTGCCCCAAAAGACCATAGATGACTGTCACGATGAAATTATCCTCCTAGGAGATCTAAATGCCAAAGTAGGAAATAATCACTCTAGATGGGGTGGAGTGATCGGGAGATATGGTAAAGATGTTTTGAATAAAAATTGCAAACGACTTCTCAGATTCCTCAGGGAGCAGAACCATGTCATTACAAACACAAAATTCCCCCACAAGTGTATAAATGCACACACAAGATGTGAACCTTCAAAGAATGAGAAATCCATAACTGGTTATGCCATAGTGAAAACAAGTTCATTCAAGTTTGTGAGAGATGCCAGAGTCATGAGAGGACTAGAGATTGGAAGTGACCACTATCTGGTCACAATAAAGATAACAACTGAAAGGACTGCTCCAACAAGAAAACACCGACAACTATGCAAGAAACCAAACAACCAAGAAGGGATGAGCATTAAGGCACACAAGTTGAGAGAGTCAGATATTAAGGCTAGATACCAGGAGCTTATAGTGAAAGCAATAGGAACTGAAGAAGAACCGCCAGAGGACACTGAAACACTCTGGTGAAGATTCAAATATATCCTCTCAGCAGCTGCAGTAGAAGCATGTGGTGAAGTCCCGAGTAGCCGGCAGGGACAAAGAACACCTTGTGGACAGAAGAAGTCAGATTGCAAAAAGAAAAATAGAAAAAGGCATGGAAGCAATACCTGGCAGCCAGAAGCACAGCTAAAGGAAATAGAGATGTATAAACAATATGTGGCACTCAAAACATAGGCCAAAAATGTAGTGCTTAGTGCAAAACAGAAGTCATGGGAAGACTTTGGAGAAGCATTGGAAAAGAATGCAAGAGAAAATCAAAAACTGTTCTACAAGACCCTCACAAACATGAAGAAGGAGAAAAGGGGCCCGCTGTAATTAATAAAAGACAAGGAAGGAGCTCTGCTTACAAATGATGTCATAGACATATGAAAAGAATATTTCTCAGAGATCCTCTGTGTTGAGGAAAGTCATGATCCAAAAATAACGGACCTCACTACTCAAAAGGAAATCATTCATGGGGATGATAACATCAGGATGGAAGAATTAAAGGCAGCTATAGAGAAGATTAGGCTGGGGAAAGCAGCAAGACATGATGAAATAACACCAGAGATGGTCAAATATATGGGAGTCGCAGGTGAGCGACTTCTCCAGAAGGTTCTCCTGGCAGGCTGGTGTAGTAAAACTATACTAAAAGATTGGGAGATTGAATTCAATATACCTATGTTTAAAAAGGGTGATAACAGACAATCTGAAAACCACAGAGGTATCTCCCTGTTCCGCAATACTGGTAAAAGTTGCTCTAGAATTCCCGAGCGGAAACATAGGTGTCTGGCAGAGCCACAGCTGGATCAGGCCCAACGCGGCTTTAGAACAAACCGAATTACTCAAGACCGTATCTTTCCTACTCAGATAAGTGAAAAGCCCTTGAATACAGAAGAAACGTTTTTTTTTGGGGGGGGGGGGGGGGGGATCTAGAAAAGGCATTTGATAAGGTACCCTGAAGCAAGTTCTGGAACTGCTTGGCAGGGAAAAACATCCCAGCACCCCTGATCAGTGCAATACCGTTTCTACAAAAGCTGCAGAAAGTATATAAGAACAGCAGACCAATAGTCAGAAGAATTTAAGACCACTAGCGGTGTAAGTAAAGGTGATATTCACTCATCTTACATCTTCTTCTTATGATGGATGATGTCATCACGACCTGTCAGGAGAAGACAAAGAAGTACTCACAGGGTACTGGAAGATGAGACCAGTCTGTATATCAGAGCTAGCATTTGGAGATGATGTGGCCCTGATAGCTAAATCAAAGGCATACCTTTCCTCAAGCTTACTTGTCTGGAAGGAGGTGCATGAGAAGAGAGGCATGAGCATCAGTATCTCCAAAACGAAAACCATAATGATCTCAAGAGAGGAGAAGAAACACCAGATCATGATGGGACAGTATGCATTGGAGCAGGTCAACCAGTTCAAATACTTTAAAGATGTTATAGACCGAAAGAGAGGCAATTCAGATTGAGCTGGCTACACGACAAGCAGCTGCTGGGAGATTCTTCCAGGCCATAAACCGAGGATTTCTTAGCAAAAGAGAAATAAGCAAGAGGACTAAAATGGCTGTTTGCCGCGCCAGTTCTGACCTAAGGGTGTGAGTCATGGGCAATGACAACAGCTCACAGAAATGAGATATCTATCTGAGAAAGGTGGTCTAGGTGACAAGAAGTGACAAAGTCCGCAGTCAGACAACACGTCGAGATCTTGTTACCCATGCCCTACAAACCCGAGTGGATCCGTCACAGGAACAATTTTGTGTGTGTGTGACAGGCATGGGAGGCTAAGAACCATACCTCCAGGGTCTGCTGGGAAGACAACATCCGACAATCCCTGACTGACAGAGGATTGGAATGAAACAAAGCCAGGAAAAAAAAACTGCTGATAGAAAAGTCTGGCGATCTCTCTGGCGAACCACTACACCCCAAGACATAAGAGGCGCGACTAAGGAAGTAGGTGAGAAGCGTACTGGAATAAATCAGGAACCATCTAAACCAGTGTTTACCAACTGGGCGCTACTCTACACCCCTTCCCGGAAGGGGGAGGGGGGCGGTGCTGGGACGGTCTAGACGGTGGTAGTGGTCTCCGTCAGATAAGAGAGGGGGGAAGCTGGGACGCTTCAGGGGGCAGTAGCGGTCTCAGGTACAGCTGGGAAGTTTGGAATAAAAAAAAAACAAGAGCCAGAGAGAGAGAGAGAGAGAGAGAGAGAGAGAGAGAGAGAGAGAGAGAGGGGGGGGGGAGAGTAAGAGAGAGAAGTATTACGTGACACAACATGTAATGATTACACTACCATCCAAGGCCACGCACTGAGCTGAGCTTCTATTCCACCGACAATACGGGAAGCAAGCTGATTCTCTGTGATCATCCCACAAGGAAACGTCTGGTCAGTGCAAGGCAATACCAGGGGAGACACTGTAACATAATCAGTGTATGTATGTATGTACGTAAGTACGTACGTACGTACGTACGTACGTACGAATGTATGAATGTATGAATGTATGAATGTATGTATGTATGAATGTATGTATGTATGTACGTATGAATGTATGTATGTATGAATGTATGAATGTATGAATGTATGTATGTATGTATGTATGTATGTATGTATGTATGTATGTATGTATGTATGTATGTATGTATGTATGTATGTATGTATGTATGTATGTATGTATGTATGTATGTATGTATGTATGTATGTATGTATGTATGTATGTATGTATGTATGTATGTATGTATGTATGTATGTATGTATGTATGTATGTATGTATGTATGTATGTATGTATGTATGTATGTATGTATGTATGTATGTATGTATGTATGTATGTATGTATGTATGTATGTATGTATGAATGTATGTATGAATGTATGTATGTATGTATGTATGTATGTATGTATGTATGTATGTATGTATGTATGTATGTATGTATGTATGTATGTATGTATGTATGTATGTATGTATGTATGTATGAATGTATGTATGTATGTATGAATGTATATATGTGAATGTATGTATGAATGTATGAATGTATATATGTATGAATGTATGAATGT